TACATCATATAACTAAAAATAATTGTTTGAATAATCATGATTTCAGTATTGACCAAAATATTTATTTAACAAATTAATTTATTTATTTATTTGAGACAGGGACAGTGCATAATTTTTACATGGACCTTAACTGGAGAGATGTTTGTACATCAGGTTGTAGCACCAGTGTTAATTTCTACCTGTCGTCCCTGGGCAGGTTCATTGATTAATTGTATTTAACTGACCCGGACTATCAACTGTTCTTCCTGGAGAACTATGTTGCATGTTTTGTGTTGATAAAATAATCATGATATTTTTTTCCATAATCAAGCAGTTCCAGCTCAATGTGGAACATTCCAAGTAAAGCCATAATATCTCAGTGAAGACTTAGGTTTCCTCGAGTCCCATCAGAGAAGTGACATAATGCACATCAGTCATTCCCCAAGTAAAAAGAGTCCACCAGGCGATGCGACGTCTTTCCTCATTACTTTTGACACGACTGTAAGTTTAATACTGATTAGAAGTAATATATTTGAACACTTTAATTTGAACTCAATTTGTTGCTGTGTAAACACATTGAAAGTGTCCCCCTGACTCCGACAAACAAATGGTCTGCATAATCACATCAATATAATCACTTTTGTTGACATAATCATAACGAGAAAGAAATTAGCCAATGTTCAGACGATTTATGACTGATAAAAAACTGTATTTATTATACTTTCCAAGATACATTCTATTCAATTGAAATGTCAATAAACACTCATAGTTTTAACTTAACAATACTCTTCTAAATAAGGACCGGATAGATCAACAGAAATGGTGAAAAAAGCTTGAAACGAAATAAATAAAAAAACAAAAATGAATTGAAGCATATATTGCACATGGATATGAGTCTCAATTTCGTAATTTTTGAACAGTTCCCAGCAATGCAGAACCATACCGAGTTGAATGCACGTATATTTTGGTTGCATAAGAAACCTTGAACAAGATAATTGGCAGAGATATAAGAGTAGTGGTGGTAATAGTAATAATAAAAGGAACTGCCAGGACTAGATCAGGCTTAAGGTCACGATAAAAAAAGAAAAAGATCACGTTTCACAACCAACTCTAGTTCGCTCGCGCCACTCGGCTCAAATTGCATCGAGAACAACAAAGCTGACGGTCCCAGTTTGACGCTTTTACAATCCTTTGCTCTCTGCTCTTAAAGATGCACTTGCGTAACTTTTCTGCCGTAGGGTTCACTGACTCGCTTGTCTCAATCACAGACTGTAAAAGAAGCAGGTTATGGGAGCATGACGTCGCCTATAGCCTTCAGCTCCAGTCAGATGAAGCTCACGGAGGCAAGCAGTTACGGGGCGAATTTGGAGTTTTATATGAGAAAGAGGAAATTAACGGAAAAGCAGAATAAAAACAGAGGATCATGTAGAGCGGGTTAATACGAGCATTTAAGACCAAAATGATGAGACTCACAGCAGCAGGTACAGAGAGAGGGGGGGACCATTTTTCAGTCAATTGGAGCCAGAGTCGATGGAGCCAGAAGCGCCTCCATGCTCACTTCCTATTTGAAATGGAATGACTAGCGGGTTACAGCCCTGACAAAAACTTTCCATAGTATAGGCTCTATTCACGCTTACGTCATAAACCAAGAAGACGTTTGGAAACATGCAATGACAACTTCTGGCGAGAGTCTGACAAGATGTAGGACAAAATTGAGAAAAATTGCCCAGTTTTCTTTATCTGCATGTCACTGTAGCATTCCTTTATGTTCGGCGAATCGACAATAACAATCATAGCAAAAGGAGAAATTCAACTTGTGATCTGGACAAAATTTTGTTTGGTTCGAATACATTTCGTAGCTCATCCAAGAAGCAGAAGAACTGAAGTCAAGAAGCAGCTTGGATAATCCGTGTATCATTCATTTTCATTTGTTTTTCAATATAAAACCAAAAATAAGAAAATGAATAAACAACAGTTTTCTTCATTATTTGTCTCCAAAACCAAAATGAAAAAACAGATAATGATTCCTTTTATCAGTTTTCGATCTTGTGTTTAAATGAAGAATGGAAAAAATGGATAACGGCTGTTTCCCGTTTACGTGACTTCCGTGACTGCGATGCCGGACTTTTGTGCTGCATACGGACTGAACCAGGACTGATTCAGGTTCGGGACCAAATCAGGACAAGAGCGGAACTAGAGCGGTCTGGTCTCGGTCTTAGTCCCGCTCTGGTCCCGGTCAGGTTCTGGTCTGGTCTCAGTCTCAGTCACACTCTGGTCCCGCTCTGGTCCCGCTCTGGTCCCGGACCTGGATCAGTCCTGGTTCAGTCCGTATGCGGCACCAAAGTCTGGCATCGCAGTCACAGAAGTCACGTTATCCATTTTTTCCATTCTTCATTTAAACGCAAAATCGAAAACTGAAAAAACTAATCATTATCTGTTTCTTTTTTTTTTTTTCATTGTGGTTTTGGAGACAAATAATGAACAAAGCTGTTATTTTTTCATTTTCTTATTTTTGGTTTTATATTGAAAAACGAATGAACGAATGATACATGGATTTTGGATGAGCTGAGAAACGTATTCGACCAAATAAACTTTTGTCTAGTTGACAAACTGAATGTCTCCTTTTGCCATGGATTCTACTGGATGACTGAGGGATTCTACACAATTCCAACCACACCTCAGTTTTCATCATTTCCCGACTGACGCACAACTCCGAGCGCACTGGGTACATGCGATTAGAAGAGACAAGGCGCCAAATTCATGATGATTCCAAACAGCACAAACGTCTGCAGTCTTCATTTCACCACTAATGACATTTACTTCAGTGGGTAAGCGTGAATAGAGCCTATTATCTCACTAAGAGATAAGCAGGTGATGAGGCCAGGTTACAGGTCAGATCTGTGTTTCAAGGTAGCAATTAAAACTCCTTTCACAGAATAGATCCAAGATAGAGGAGTATACTTCGAAACTTTGCATGAAGAGAAGTAAAATAATTGAAAAGCAGAAAAATAACAGAATAATTTAGTCGGTTGATGGTATCTTAGTCAAGCAAAATCTGTATTTGTTGACAACGGCAGATACGGGAAGTGAGTGAGTGAGCTGGCTGAAGGTTTGATTATTGGTATTTATGTTAGGGTGACCATATTTCCGTTCGTGAAAACCCGGACACCTTACCGGGAGTGGGGGGCGGGGCCTCGACAGTGAGCTACTCTCACCTCGCAACCTGTGCACATGGCCTCCCACTTGTCCCGACCTGAACGGAAAACAGAGAATTTCTCATACAAGTCATTGTTAAACGAGCATTTGCGCTTCGGCGTGTTGCAGACTGACCGACTGTTTGTGTCTGCTCCATCCTTCTAAGTACACAGAGAGCTACGAGAGACGCTCAATTTAATGACCCCGATGAACGGTAATGAAAACCCGGACATTTCCATCACTTAAAAAAAAAAAAAAACCGGACGCGCAGGACAGGATGCAAAAAACGGACATGTCTGGGGAAAAAAACGGATATTTGGTCACCCTAATTTATGTAAAAATGCAGATCAAACTCATGATTCACAAGTTGTCTTAAGATGTATACATATATTGTTTTCTAGTACTTTTTTATTTTCTGCATGAATAGTTGTTTTTTGCATGAACTCCCCCTGCAGGTGTGGTCTTGCGAGTGCAATTTGGTTCACATAGTACACAGAGATACGTAAATGTACTGAGAGCTTTTTGTCACGTCCCATTTTTATTCGACCAAGAAATCCTTTTGTCGACTACAGCTCTAATCTCCAGAGAGACAAAAAAGTGGAGAACCCTCTGCTGGAAAAGTCACACAGTGCGCTTTAAATTAGACCAAATACTCTTTAAATAATCTCGTATAGAAAAATAAAGCAACTATGTCTGCAGTTTGGACTACGGATCTGACCAGAGGGGTTGGGAGTAGGATTATACCATTTCAAGTCCGTTAAATGTCTCATCTTGTAATTTACAAACCAGTCCCACAAATACAAATAATGTAAGACATACAAAATAAATTTCCAGGTTTACGCTTACATGGCAAGCAGCTTTAGTAATATAGTTTTTTAATTACATTTTTTCAACTTTTTCTTCAGAAATAAGTCCTTTGACAGTGAATGTGCCGTTAGATAATATCTCACCCAAAACAGTTTTTTTGAACTTCTGAAGAGAAACACCATTCAGTAGACACTATATTTAACATGGCTCTTTACACAAAAAAACATCAAGAAATCATTCCTAATAGTGGTGCCTTGTTGCCTTTTTCCAAATGAAGTACCACTAGCATTTTTAATCCATAAAAAAGTCAAAGAGTTTATGCGGAAATCCCAAATGCGGTTTACAGTGAAACATCCGTAACCTTTGCAACTAGGACCGAGCACAACTTTCATAAAGCAAAAAATAGACCAATTGTTTGAAATCTTTTGGGGAAAAAAAAAAAAAAAAAGGTTGAAAATGGTGAGGTATCTTCTCAAGCACTGTTTTTCAAGACCCTTGCGGCTGAATTTGGTTGGGAAACAAATGAGCCAAAAATACAAAAAAAAAACAAAAACAAAAAAACAACAACAAAATGAAATACTTCTATAGCAGCAGATTGACTAGTCTGTGTAGTCCACGCTGTCCAGTCCCTGTTGTTTATGTAAGCACGCAACACAGTTTGACTCACGGTGAATAATCCAGAATAGTTCTTTTAACTTGCAAACGTATCCACGGCGATTCGAGTGCGAGCTTTGTAGTGTACGGAGCCATTTCGTCCATCTCTGCATTGGTCATTACGGATTCCCAGAAGGCACTTTTTTTTTGCTATGTGTGGGAGAGAGATAGAGAGACCCAAAGCGAAGGAGACGAAGGAGGAGGGAGAGGAGGAAGAGGAGGCTTGAATGATATGTTTGTGTGGCTAAAAGAGAGAAAGAGAGAGAGAAGGGAGAAGCAAATCAAGCTTGAAAAGACAGATGACTTTGGCTTTCTGTCTGCCCGCATGGAACCAATGGACGAAATTAAAAACAAAAATAGCATCCTTACATTTTGCTCAACGCAGTCTGCTCCTCTAGCACCTGTAGGTAGTCCGGCGTGCCTTGGAGCTTGGCTTTTAACTCATAATATTCACTTTTTCTCTGCTCCACCACAATCTTGCTATGATTCCCGCCGATTAGTGACGTCTTTTTCATCTTTCTATCCAGACTTCTACTGTCTGGATAGCGTATCTCATACCCTCCCATCCCTATACTGTTGAAATCGCTTTTTCTGTCCAGGAAATTTTGAATAAACATGCTCGGCTCTCTGTTGGGAAGAAACTCCTCCAGTTCGTCAATGGTGCTGAGTCTTTTATTTCGCTCCAAAGTTGATAAAGCGTCCTTATCCTTATCACAGTTTCGCAGGATGATCTTTTGCCTCTGTGAATCCGCAAACTTGAACCCCGCGTCTAAATCGGAATTCCTGCCGATCCCGCACGTGTGGCTCTTCCCGATATGTTCGATAGTTTGCGGGATAAAAGTCTCTCCTCCCAAATCATCACCGGGAATCGCGCATTTTTTCCCCGATTTGTGGTTGTGTCTGCGGAGTTGCAATGACATCGACCCGCACTCTTGACTGCCCAGGCCTTCTTGCCTTCCAGCCGGTTTCTTATTCCGCCTCAAAACGAACACCAAGAGACAAAAGGCCACGAAAACAGTTAATATAAGCACTACGAGAATGCTCAGGATCATTATCGACAGTGGGACAGGTCCGCCGTTGGCTGCTTTTCCGACTCCCGCGGGGGACAAGGAAGTCAAAACTGGAGTCGCGCTTGTTAGAATAAACGGACGCCTATGGATCAGTTTTGGACATAGGATTTCGCTTTTCAAGGTTTTCAATTCTTTGTTGGAAAACTGCACGGGTGATGCGCATTTCACCTCTTTACCTGCTACTCCATCGTTTAGCTTCTCCAGCCAGAGTTTTAGCGCAACCAAATCGCACGAACAGTCCCACGGGTTTCCTTCTAGGTCTATTTGGGTCAATGACTGCAACTGGTCCAGCACTCCGCTCACAGGTAGAGTCATGAAGTGATTGTTTTTCAAATTTAGCCTCGCCAAAGGTACACCGGCGAATACGTAAGCGGGCAAGCTCCGCAGGACGTTATTGTTGAGATAAAGGAGCTGCAGATTGGGCATTGAGTCAAAAGTTCCAGCTAGGATTTCTTTAATCGCATTGTACTCCAGATACAGATACTGCAAGTTGGTCAGACCTAAAAACATCTCAGGGTGTAACTGTTCTAGCTGGTTTCCGTTTAAATACAGTCTCCGTAGGTTGGTGAGGTTGGCAAAAACGCGATTCGGGACAGTTACAATTTGATTGCTTCCGAGATGGAGGAGGTCTAGTCCTTCAAGTCCCTGGAAATCGTTGGGGCTTATGTCTCTGATGTAATTCCCACTTAAATGCAGTTTTTTCGCATTGGGAGGTTTGGGCATAAGATCTGATAACGTTTTGATGTTGCGTTCTTGACAGCTGATGCTTATTCCAAAATCTGAAGGATGCGCCTTGCAGCTACAAGGTTGCGGACACATTATAGGCGGCGTCCGGGTTTGAAACGATACGATTTGGCTATTTCTTCCGAATGGCGGTAATCCAGCCACAATACCATTACCGTAAATTTTAGAAGAGTCTGTCGTTTTTGGTGATTTTGTAGCCATTGGCATTATGGTTGTGGGGGACATTTTGGAAGGCCCATTGTCACCTGGCAACGGCGGCATCCTCACGTCGAAATCGCTCGCGGTCCCCATCGGGCACAGTTCTTGCTTGTTAGTCTCTTTCAGTAGCCTCCCGTACAGATCATTTGGCGTTTCGCACACAGCTTCCCCGATAAAAATATTGTACGGCATATTTTCTAGCCATGCTTTGAGCGGCGCTAGGTCACAGGTACAGTTCCAAGGGTTATCATCCAATTGCAGTTCTACAATTCTGCCGATGTGCTCCAAAACTCCAATGTACGGCAGCTTTTGGATCCTGTTCCCTCTTATATCCAGATGTGTCAGTGACGCAAACCTGAAGATGTTATCTGGTAGCGCTTGTATTAGATTATCATTGAGGATTAGCACTTTTAGCTTGTGGAGTTTGTTAAAAGCTCCTTTCTCGATGTATTTGATCAAATTGTAGTCGGCCTGGAGGTATTCCAAGTTCTCCACGCCGATAAATGTGTCCGCGCAACACTTTGAGCTCATTGTTGTTCAAATGAAGCTGTTTTAAAGAGCTCATCCCGGAAAACGCTCCCCCTTCGATGTTCTGGAGGTTGTTGTTGCCGAGTTGCAGCGACACAGCGTGGGTGAAATTCGGGAAAGAGTTCGGGTACAGGATATTCAAAATGTTGTACTGAAAGTTCAAATGATACAGCTGCGACACGGGCGGGATCAGCTGCGTTGGTCGGTACACGGTTAGCTTCTCACAGTTGACGTAGAGGACGTTCTCCACGGACATGCACGCGCACACGGAGCACGTCTCTGCCACGAGCTCCGGGGAGGAGGGGTCGGCCATGGTGGGGGTGTCCGTGGTGGTGAGGGAGAAGGAGCCCTGGACACAGGACAACAGCGCTGCCAGCAGTCGTACGAGCAGCATCTCGCCGGTTACAATTCCTCCCCCACAAAACCATTTAGTGACCTTCAACACACAGAAAAGACACACAGAGTTACACACAGTTACACACAAAGGGCAAAAGGAAACACATCTGAGCACAAGCAAAACATGTTTATGCCTAAAGGGCCACATGACACTGTTTTCTCATCTATGGTATAATTAGGGGTGTGCAAAAATACTAAAATATCGATATATCGTATTATTTAATGTGATGATAAAGTATCGATATCATGTTCGTGTTGTATCGATATATCACCAAGAGCATTTTTTGGTATATTTTACTGAATTATTTTGTTACAGTGTTACAATTTTGTTGCTTGTTCAGAGGAAGGAAACTTTTTTATGCAACACATTTGACAGATTCAGTTTTGAGGATTAAAATGTTTGTGTTTCATTTTCATTTTACACAAGAAGTGGTTGAATAAAGACTTTTAATATCACACCCATGATTTAGCTTTTATTTTTTATTGAACAATATTGAATCAATTTGAAATATATTGCATTAAATTGTATCGAATCGTAAGCTCACTGTATCAGGATATGTATCGTATCATGGCCTATGTATCGAGGTATGTATCGTATTGGCAACTTCTGAATGATACCCAGCCCTAGGTATAATGTTTATGGAAGATCATTTGTTTCATCAGATTTAGAATTTTAAATGCCATTGAATTTCTCACTTTCAAGTTTTTAACTCTGGAAAAAAAAAAAAAAAAAAAAGTTTTATTCTGAATTTTAATTGCCGAAATTTTAAGTAAGTATGTAAGTAATTTTTTTTTTTTTTTTTATAAAGCACTTTTCACAGACGTACGGCACAAAGATGTTTTACAGAGCATTATTCGTTCACTTCACACTCAATGGTGGTCAGACACTATTGTATCGCCATCACTCACACACACACACCACTCTCATACTAGGCAATAGAGGTGAAGTGTCTTGCCTAAGGACACTTTTTTTTTTTTCTGACTAGTGCCCCACTGCGCCACCTGATTTTCCCAGTGTTTCCCATCCAAGTATTAACCAGGCCCGGCCCTGCCTGAACTTCTGAGATCTGACGGGATCAGACTTTGATAAGCCGGTATGGCCACAGTGTTTAAAATTCATAATTAAAAAAAAATCACCTTTTAAATATTCATCACAAATATTTCCAAGCCCTCCAATTCAACAGTCAAAATTCAGAGTGTAAAATCTGCAGTGAAAAAAAATAAATAAATAATAATTTACAGGGAAGATCCAAGATGCCAAGGCAGAAGCAATTGATCCAAAGGGATTTGATCTAATTTAGTAACAAGCAGGAAATGGTTCAGTGAACTGATCTGATTGGTCAGAATTAGCCTCTGTCCTCTTCACTCACACAGGATCGATTGCTTCTGCCTCTTGGATCTTAGCTGTGAAATTTTTCACAGTGAATTTTACATTCTGAATTTTGCCAGTTGAATTTGAGGGTCTTGAAAATATCTGTGCTGAATATCTAAAAGGTGAATTTTTATTTTGAATTTCAAACATATTGAAAACAGGTATTCTTCAAATTTCAGCAACTAAAATTCAGAATAAAAATAATTCAATAATCTTTTTTTTTTTTTTTTTTTTTTTTTTTTCCAGAGTTAAAAAAATTCAAAGTGAGAAATTCAGCAGGATTTAAAATTCAAAATCTGTTGGACCAAATGATCTTCCATAGTTGTTTCCTCTACAAAAACAGACCTGGAGTTGTGTTTTATTTTATTTTATTCACATGTTTAACTCACAAACCGTGTGTAGTTGGCTGCACTGTGTCTCAAACAGAAAACACTCTGTTGCACCTTGTGATGTCATACAGGAAGTGCTCCAGTGTTTTTAAACTCCATACACCTTCCCTAGAATCATTTGGATAATTTCAGACCTGGATTTGGCCATGTTTACTCAACAAAAAGGTACAATTTAGCTGTTAACTTGAAAACTCCACCACATGACATCACAAGGTGGAACAGAGCATTCTGAGTTTTGGAGATGTAGACAGACTAATAATAAAAGGTTTACTCCAGCATGTGTGAATGAAACAAAACACAACTCCAGGCCAGTTTTTGAGGAGGGAACAACATTCTAACATGATTTAAAGCTCACAAGAGTTTGTTTTGTGTGATCTATGACTTAAGTTAGGACACTGGGCATGTTTTGAAGAGCAAAATAATAATTATGACAAAATATATGATTATTTTGTTAGTACAGACAATGGAATTAGCGTTGCCATGGTAACAGGAGCAACAGTGTACGACAGAAGTAAACCAGGGCCAGTGCACATCTCCTAGAACACAGATTTAGATCTTGAGGATTCACAGTGGGTTCCTAAACGTGAGCCTACTAAACTCCTTCAACTATATTAAAGGGCTGCTGTAAAGATAACAGTTCTATAACATCTTTACTAACCATAAAACTATTTTATTTTAGGACTGCAGTTTGCCAAGATGTTGGGGTTGCCAATTTCTGCACTTAAATGAAGGCTTTCTGAGATAAGAAGACTGCAGTCCGGAGCCCTTGACATTTTAGGCTGATACATGTATTGAGTTTTATATTGAATCACCACTTTGTACACTACCAGTCAAAAGTTTGGACACAACATCTCATTCAGTGTTTCTTTTACTTTTTCTTAGCGCTTTCTACATTTTAGATGAAAAAGACGACGTCAAAAATATATGAAGCAATATATATGGGATTGTTTAGTAAAGAAAAAAAGGTCCATTGTTTAACTTTTCAGGTGGAGGAGCTGTCAAATGTTTTGCTTTGTCTGGAATGTTTCACAGTATGGCATTAAACCTTTGTATCTTCATGGAGACCAAACCAGACCAAGTTACATGTCAGATCTGTGGAGAGGCGACCCCACTCACAGTCAGAATGTCTTTTTTTTCCTATGTATTTTGGAGTTATAAAACCACCTGTAATTGAATAAATATAAATTAGCTGTTTAATGACATACTACGGAACATTTCAGGCAGAGCAGTGACAAATCCATAAAAACAAGTTACATAGTGCACCTTTGAATAACTCTACAATTTTTATTTATTTTTATTTTTTTCCGACAAAGCAAACGGTGGTTTTGGATTTGGTTGTAAAATATTCAATTTACAATTATGTAATATATTCAGTATAGTTTTTCTTTTTTTTTTTGCTACATATTTCATACATCTTACTTCCTATAGGTGAAGTCTTATGTGTATGGAAGCCCATTTCCACCAGTAAATAAAAAAATAATAATAATAATTAAACTCATAATTAGGAGTTTAAAAGTCATAATTATGGGCTTAAAACTCCTAATTATGACTTTAAAAATTGGAATTATGACTTTTAAAACTCCTAATTATAACTTTAAAACTTGTAATTATGACTTTTAAGCTTGTAATTATGACTTTCTGTGAGGCTTTTATTTATTTTCTTTATTTACTGGCGGAAATGGGCTTCCATATATGTGTGTAAATCAAAAGTAGAAAGTAATAAACACATAAAAAAAAATAAAATCTGACTATTTCGTACTTATATTGAAACAGCAATATTTGACAATACCATCATCCTTTGAACACACGACTTAAAGATGCATTGTGTAACATTTTTACTAAAGGGTCCGCCATCTGCTTGTCTCATGGAGATGCCTGAGATGTTCCACAATATGACTTTAAACATATATATGTATCTTGTATTCATTATTCATTTACAGTTGCTTTTATTTCTCAAAAATACAGAACTTGGCCTGGTGACGTGACCTACTTGGACAATTAAAATAAATGCCGAACTGTATAACATTCCAGCAAAAAAAAAAAAAAAAAAAAAGCAATAACATACATCAAGCCAAGCAGGTGGTGGACCTTCTTCCAGAAAGGTTCCACAGTGCACTTTTAACTGAATTACTTTTTATTGATTTGACTATAATGTAGGGCTTGTGTTTGGCGACCTGCACAAGGTTTTATTAAACATTTTAATTAATCATTTTAGTCTCAGCTTTCTGTTTCTTGCAACATTTTTAGGAATTAATCACGTTCAAAATATTAAATATTTTGTTTTAAACAGTTAAAACTATAACAACAGTCCTAATTGCTCTTCTCATTCTGAAACCCACAAACAGGCGGCTCAATTATAATCACATTTGCCTCATTAGTGAAATTAGTATTATTTCTAACAGTTACTTTTGTTGTATTTTTGTTGTGAATGTTCCATATTATGACTTTAAACATTTCCATCTTGCGCATTTATTCACTGTTTGGTGTTTCTGTTTGCTCAAAAATATAATAATTCCTTCTGTGAATAGGGGCGGCTCTCCACAGATCTGAGCTGTAACGTAGCATACTGCTGTAACCTGCTCGTCTCCCTCGTGATAGAAAAGTTTAATCTATACTGTGGAACATTCTAGACAAAGCAATGACATTTCCATGGAGACAAGCAGGTGACAAACCGTGCAGCAGAAATGTTCCGCACTGCACTTCTAAGGCTACGTTCAGACTGCAGGGCTTAAAGCTCAATTCCGATTTTTTTGTGAAATCCGATGTTTTTGCGAGGTCGTTCACATTTCCAATTAAATGCGAATCGTAAGTGACTCCAGTGTGAACATTAAACGGCCCAAAATTGTCCCGCATGTGCACTGGAGACATGACGACGTCAACCGCAGCGAGCGTTCTACAGACGTTGCTGCCGCTGTCCCACAAAACACCACGGCCAAAAACCTCGTCCTTCTCCTTCTCAATCTCCTTAAAACAAGTAAGTTGTTCATGTTCTGGCTCCGGTACGAGAGGAAATTTAAAATCTCCAGGTGCTCAATGCTATGTCCATGTTTGGATAACTTCTGTAAACACAGAGCACGCTCGCTGCGGTTGACGTCGTCATGTCCACCAGTGCACATGCGGGACACTTTCGGGCCGTTTAACGTTCACACAGGGGATCGCATACAAGTCGCACTTAATTGGAAATGTGAACGACTTCGCAAAAACATTGGATTTTACAAAAAAATCGGAATTGAGCGTTAAGCCCTGCAGCCTGAACATAGCCTAAGTGTCCTG